GGTGGTGGTTAGCGCTGTGTAACTGCCGGCCCCGGAACCCAGTTGTCTTGGTTGGAATCCTAGCTGTGGGACTCTAGATTTAACTCCTCCGTCCCTCAGTTTCCTTGGTTGTAGTGCAGTGTAAATGGTACTCGGTCTACCGGCTTGTTATGAATTAAATGAATGAATATGTTTCCATTGTTTAGGACGCCTGGCATATGGTTCATTGTGTCTCACATGTAGCTCAATAAATGTCATTTTAGCAACATCATAAAAACCCCTAAGTGCTCAGCACTACCATTATCTCCGATTTATAGATGAGGGAACTGAAGCTGGCAATCAAAAACTTTCTGATTTCGCAGAATCGGGGGAATAATGCCTGCTCTGTAGCAAGGTCCGAAATCCCATTCCTAATTGTAAATGAAGGGAGCTATGCCGGGGACCCCCTCAGTGGATTGGATTATATTTTTCCTTGGGGGCATGGGGAAGTTATTATTACACCCATAAAACTCATACTGTAACAAAATTGCATTCATAAACTGCAGTAACCACTGCAATTTACAATGCATTTTTCTTATCCTCTCTGGATTTTTACAGGGTTGGGGTCAGAGAAGTTAAGTCACTGAGAACAACATCACACAGCCATGATGGGACAAAGTTTGCCAGGGATTTCCTAAATACATACACATGGTCCTTACTGAACTTGGTTTATTTATTTATTTTAATGTTTATTTATTTTGAGAGATAGAGACAGTGTAAACAGGGGAGGGGCAGAGAGAAAGGGAGACACAGAATCTGAAGCAGACTCCAGGCTCTCAGCTGTCAGCACAGAGCCCGATGCGGGGGCTCGAACCCACGAAGTGTGAGCTCATGACCTGAGCCGAAGTCGGATGCTTAACTGACTGAGCCACCCAGGCGCCCCTATTTATTATTTTTTTACATTTATTTATTTTTGAGAGACAGAGCCAAGCAGGGGAGGGGCAGAGAGAGAAAGACACAGAATCCAAAGCAGGCTCCAGGCCCTGAGCTGTTAGCACAGACCCCCACAAGGGGCTACGAGTCATGATTGGTGAGATCATTACCGGAGCCGGTCAGAAGCTTAACTGACTGAGCCACCCAGGAGCCCATTCCTGAACTTGGTTTAAATCAGTCATCGTCTTGTCAGGAAAATCTTCCTGAGACCACTTTATCCAAATAGGATGGCCACAATTCTCTATCTCTTTACTGTTTTAATTTTTTCCCAAGCATTCATTACTACTTGATATGGTATATATTTATTTTTTAATTTTCTGTTCCCCACCACAGCAGAGAATAGGGATTTTATCTCTTTTGGTTGTGCGATATACCCAATTCTTAGAACCCCAGCCTTGGGGGGCCCGGTGGCTCAGTTAGTTGAGCATCTGACTCTAGATTTTGGCTCAGGTCATGATCCCAGAGTCGTGAGATTGAGCCTGGAGTTAGGCTTTGAGCAGAGCTTGCTTGGGATTCTCTCTCTCTCCCTCTCTCTCTCTGCCCCTCCCCTGCTCAGGCTCCAAATCTCTCTGTCTCTCTTTCTAAAATAAATAAATAGAAAAAGAACCCCAGCCTGGATATAGTGAGCACTCAATACATGTGTTAAATAAATACATTTTTATGTGATCCATAGAAAGATCATGGCAGTAAGATTTTGGCCAGTCAAGGGCAGCCCTGGAGACAAATACAATTTAATTCAACCACATCATTAGCATCAGTGCTTTTCGCAAATAACAAATTGCTCCCACCTTTATCTTCTTTGGTAACCAAAATTTTCATGCTCTAGGGTCCATTTCAGAATGGCTGCTTTTCTGGAAAAATCTGTTGAATGAAAGGGGGAACATTACATCTGATGAAAGAAAAGGTGCACAGGAAATGATGTATTGTTATCTGTATTCACCACTCTAAAGTGGTAATCTATGTTCTTTCACTGCTCCTTGGCTAACCCTTCACACTTAATTCAATGCTAATTTAAATCGGCCTGATAGAACTCAAAGGGAACCACATCCTTAGGGTAGAGTGTATTAGCATCCTGCCAGAAGATGAGTATGTGTCCTTGGAAAAACCATAGTCCGGGTTATGATTTGTTCCAATGGTTCTCTTCAGCCAACAGCCCTTCACAAAGATTTTGGAGCCCTCATTCTGTATCACATCAAACAGGTCAAAATTCACCCACAGCCACATTAAATGGCGCTTGTGATGGGATTTCACTCAGTTGGTGGCCTAACTGACAAAATGTTACATTTGGTTCATTTCATTAAATCCCTCAACGAATCACAACTTTGTAAATTTCCATTGGTAATATGGAGCTGATTTCCCTGCCACTTCTTACCCCCCCCCCCCCCCCCC